TGTATCCACCAAATTGGGTGGCACAATCACTCTGCCCGTTCCTGTGCCTATGTCAGTCTCCTCTGGAATATGAGCACCCCAAGCCTCTGGGTGTAGGGCACAGTAGTCAGGCTTTCCTTTGGAATGGAGGTTCAGTTCACTCATTAATCTTGGAAAGGGGGGGGAAGAACTATTATTCAACTATCACATTTCCTTAAAAACGCTTCCCCATAGAATCATCAGCCTACATGCTCAAAAGATCATGGACTTCCACGCTCTTAACCACAAGGGATAAGAATGAGAGACATGCTCATAGGCTTGTTTGCTTTAAAAATAATGCCCATTTGGGAAACCCTGTGATAACCTACAATTCTAGCTTGTACAGCAATTTCATGTATGCAGGAAATCCACGATCCTGTCTCTTACTTAAGGCAAGTACCTGGGTGTGGAAACGACAACCTGCACCTTAACTGACCTCACCAAGACATGGACTCTTTCGGTTACTAGGCCTGGCTAACAAACAGGGTAAATCCAGTTGAGTTCACATGATAATGAGCTTCTCTTTTACAACCTTATCACTAACTCTGTGGTGATTTGTGGGAGTAGAGTCTCCCAGGCTTGGCTTATGTACTGAGTAGCCACAAAGGAAATTATATGATAAAACAGGGTTGACCACGGTCAGCTCTGTAGAGGGAGGGAACACTGAAGACAATGTGTGTGAGAAGAAACTCAGGGCAATTTATGGTTACAAAGAGGCTGAGACAGTAAAACCTCAGAGTAGATTTAGAAGTTAGAGATTAAAAGTCAGATGACCTGCATAAATTCTGGGGCCAGTTTATGTTGAATTACTGGTTGGGGGAAGTCATTTAACCTTGACTGGGCTATGCCACATCGCTACACCCTTGATGTAGTCACAACTCTCCTTGGTAGCTACTAGTGGAAGGTCTTGCTCAGTTCTGGAGCCAAGACTTCTGTCCTACCCCAAGGGTGTCCAGGAGTTAGTGCACAGGACAGACGAGGGTTCTCGAGGCTTTCTTGTGTGCAAGCCCTCAGGCTGGGACTGCCGGCTCCTTACAGCTAAGGACGTCTCAGCCGTCAGGTTCACGCTGGAAGATGTGGAAAAGTTCCTCCAGGAAATCTACACAGACTCTCTACTCGACACATTTTCCCACCACGACCTTGAAGATCTGCAAGCCTGCAAGGATTTTATAATCCTACAGAACAGCTCTATGGTCAAACATAATTCAGGGGGAAAAAAGGTCTAAGGAAGAAAAAAACTGAAGATGGACAGAGCAACACTGTAAAAATACTGTATCATTTATGCCATTTCTCTGCACAGATATGACCTGAGGACTTTCACACTTATCCTTAGAGAAAATAAAGATTGCACATGTTGGTGCCACTTTGCATTTATAAAATCTGCAAAAGCATGTTGTTTCATTTCAGTACTAAGGTGGGCAATATGGCAGCTCTGATGTGCACACAAAGAAACCAAGCCCCAGGCTGATGATATAATTTGCCTCACTCTCACCACTAGTGAGTAGCATAGCCAGAAATGAAAACTAATTCTTCTGATCTTAAAGCCTGTACAGTCTCCATTACAAGGGAGAATCTTATTTTAAAAAACAACTTTAAGGTCTGAAAGGTTTTTAAATAAAAGAATAAGTATGTATTGCATATCATCTATATTTCACATGAAGTGTGATATAGTCATAGAAATGGATTTTACAAGTTTCATACATTTCACATGAAATGTGATATAGTTATATATACTCATATATTCCACATTAAGTATATGGATATATAGATATATAGATATATAGTTAGATAGATAGATAGATAGATAGATAGATAGATAGATAGATAGATAGATAGATAGATAGATAGATATAATACATAATGGAATATAAATATATGAAATACATGTGAAACACACACACACACACATAACACATACATGCTTATTCTTGGAAAAACTGCAAGGCAAACAAACAACTCAAGTTTAAAAATAAAATGATAAACTTCCATTTGTAAGGTATAATAACATAGCTCTTAACTGCCATTACTGGCAAGTAAGGTTTTCTGGATGAGGTGTCTAAGTGTTTTTATATTAAATGTTTCAGAAAACAAAAATAAGCACATACACACGTTCCCATTAAACCAAACACAGACAACAAAATTTATGCTCTTAAAAATGGTTTGCTGTCTCTGAATCAGTCACCACCGTGCTGCGCATTAAGCTCTGGAGCAGAGGGCAGAGGCCACGAAGCCTTGCCCGGACACACGCCGGAGTCACACGGTGTTGCTTTGCCTCTTCCCTGGAGCTCTAGATCCTTTCCGCTCTGACAGATGTTCCCATCTCAGCGCCTCTACCTGCTCTGCCTTTGGATCTAAGAGGACACTTCAGGTTATCCAGGTAAGCAGCCAACAAACTTAGCACGACTCAATATGAAACAGACACGTACGTTGTGCATATGAGTGTGCACACGCACAGTCTCTCACACACACGGTATCATGCACACACCTGAAGGGGAGCACCTGTGTCCTGTAAACCTCTGTTGCCACCTATCTCATCGAGTAGGCATGAAAGAACGATAGTTTTCATGAACTTGAGAACCAACAGGGAACCTGGAAAGAAGAGATTGTGAAGTTTGGAGTTAAGAGACTTGCAGTGGGTGCCAGATTGAGAATCAAAATTCTCTAAATGGGATTAAGTTTCTTCTTATTCTGAACAGATTAGGTGACTGGGTTTGATCCCAAATGGATCCCAAATGTTTCCATCTGTAAAGGGGACTAAAAATAACATGCACTTTTGGGTGTTCTTTGACAAATGAGTGCTTCAAACCATCGGAAGTATTCTAAAAAGTTATTTCTTATTAAATCCCAAAGTTCTGATACAAAGATAGCTGTCCTCACACTCACTCACACACCCCCTCTCATACAAAAACAGGAAGACAGAGAACAAATGAAAAAGCCAACAAATAGGTCTTACTTTCATCAGGGTTAAATTTTAAATTTATAGCCTTGTCTCATGTGGGCAACTGCCAAAATTTAAATTCCCAATAAACAGGGAATGTTAAGTAAGAAAAGTCTTAAAAGACACACACCAAGCTTCACTATCAACTGGTCAGCTTTTCCGTAATGGGAAAAGAATGTACACTTAGAAGTTTCCAGATTTACTCATATCTAAGTTATAAAAACTATTATTTCCTCATTCACTTCCATAGAAGCTACTTAAAAAGCAGCAACTAACTAAAATGGCTAGAACATCCTCTTGGGCAGTAGAGAAAAGCAGAGTGTAGCAGTAGCTCACGTGGGGTTCTGATACAATGGTGATGTGAACACTGGGTAATGGAGAGGCCCCCCTTCCACTCGGAACTGCGTCTCTGATGCCTCCTTTTCACACACTGCCTTCCTGCCCCCCACTTACCTGGCCTGCGAGGGGAGCGCTCTACTGGAAGCTGAAAGGCAGCATAGGAAAGTGCCCAGACTAACTTCCCCCGTCAGTCTCCTACTGACTCTAGGAAAGAGAAGGAGGGCTTAAAAAATGACAATTTCTGTACTGCACAGATAAACTCTTCCCGTTTGCTAGAAACTGACTCTCAGTAAAAGTGCTCACAGTGTCCCAAGTGAGCCCCTGCCCCTTTGTATGGCTCAGCCCGGCCAGGACATGCCTGCCAGCCCCTGCTTCCCCGGGTCCCTGCATCTGGCTCCAGGGGCCTGGGGGCTGAGGCTGGCCTAAGCGTGGCCCACGGGGCTTTAGCAGGCCCACTGGGAACAGCAACAAAAAAATCTCTTTACGGGATACTGGGGTCTGGCTCATCACCATGACAGAACCTGGTGAGAACAAAGTAAGAGCAAAGACAAGCGCCGGAGAGGAGGGCGCCAGGCACTCTGAGGCTGGAGGCCACGCCCGGGTCTGCGTGCGTGGCCGGGATGGGGATGCGCCATGTCCTGAGAGAGATGCTCAACTATTACCGATTCTGCATTGGCTTTGGGGACTCTCATATAATGGGTAGTGTAAATAATGTAAAAACATGTAATATCAGTGAAATACTGCAACATCATTCCAGAATTCAAGCAATAATTATTTGGTTCCCTTTTTCATCCCAGAACCATGGGCATTACTTTGCCATCTCCAGCAAAACGGAGGCGAAATGTTTGAGTCATTTATGTTTAAGTCTTGGACACAGCGATTCAGCTCTCAGAAAACTGCCCTGAGAAGGCAACCTTTGGGCATCTTGATGCCGCATTTCTGACCGAACATGTGTCAATTGCACGTAAGACTTCTACTCGTAACAAAAATTCAACACTTTTACCAAGCTAGTATTCAATTTTACCAAAATCCTCTGGCTCAAGTCTGCTGTTAATGACTTGCTATGAGAGAGAAGGAAAACAAAAACAAAGTAGACTCTTCCTCCCGGGGAAGTGCAATTACTTGGAGAGAAGCAGAAGTCAGCCTGCGAGAGAATCTCACATTTTTCATTTAGGAGCTCATTTGCAAATCCTCAGTCAGAACAAAAGCTGAACCCAGAGCCGACCTTGGTGTCTAAAGCAGTTGTTAAATAAAATGCGTGGCCCACACATAGATTACAACCGTGGACCAGATTATCAATATTCCACTCCCCCCGGACATGTATCATTCACACAGCAATACAGAGAAGGCAGCAATGGTGCATTTTGTATGTGCCTAGTGAAATGCTTCTCTAGATCATGCAAATTAAATTTCTGAGGACACAAAGATTCTTCTCAGTCTCGCTGGAAAATAGACAAATAAACAGCAACAACAAATCCCCTTTTCATCAGTTGATCTCAGTTCACAATTTCAAACTCTGTCCCTTAAGTTTTCTTAGTGCAAGAGCCCTAGGCAATAGTTTTAGATAAGGCATTATTACTATTTGTCACTAACAGAGGACATCAAAAAATAGCCTTAAGGAATTCACAATAATGCTATAGAGTTAACTATGCAACTACACACCAGGAGAAAAATGTGTAAAAGGAACACCCACATGAACATTTACCTTCCACTGCTCTTTTGAAGAACACCTTGCAGCTGCCACAGGTTACCACCCCATAATGACATCCTGAAGCCTCATCCCCACACACCAAACATATTTTGGAAGGTCTTGAGGATCCAGTAGAAACACTTCGTAAAGTAGAGCTGGGGAAAGAAATCAAGATTTAAGTAACTACACTGTAAAGGTACATTTGATACGCTGTTCAGCTTAGCTCAAAACATCATCATCACGGTCCCGTAAATGCAAACCGGTTACGTCTGTACAGTCACATGCTGTGGTGGCTTAGGGAAGGCAGGCTCCAACTCGATCTGAGCAATAATGCTATTGAGGGTTCTGTGTAGCCGTCTCTTCTCAGCACAGAGAAACTGAGAGACAGGTGACCACATAGAAAGTTCATTCCTCCATTTTCTGGTATTGAGAACATTTACCAAAGGAGAAACTATTTTTCTTTTGCATTCTAGGTGGGCAGGGAGGAGAAGGATCCTGAGCTGAGTCATCAGGGAAGTATTTTTGGCATCAAAAAACTATTAAAATACTTCTTAACTCCCTTCACCTGGACTCAGATTATATATCACAATTATGCCAGATTAAAAAACTTTCCTTTCCAAAACAATCCACTAAAAAGCAATTTTAAAAATTCTTGTCTTGTCTCTACTGCCAGCAAATCTCCCCGCGCCTCCCAAGCTCCTAAAGTTTTTCTTGTTACCTTATACTTGGCTCAAAGTACTTCATTCTGTGCCTTTCATTTGAAAGGTCCTAGGCAACCAGCTTTTAGGGACAGCTTTTAGCCCTTTAACAACAATCTTTGAAAAACATTCGAAGGAGAATCTTCTCAAGATCTCTATCACCATCTCTGTTAATGGCACATTCTGGACAAAATCTTTTTCATTCTACTGAAGAATGTCAGTGCAGGGACGTCTGTGTACCCACAGCAGAGAGGCTGACGTCCTCCCCCACCTTCCCCCATGGTCCGCACACAGTTAATGTCCACCCCCAGGTGGGCAGGACGCTGAGAGAGAGAGAGGAGGCCCCAGTCTTCGATCCTGATGTGAGGTTCCCCGAGCTTTCCTGGCATCTATGGGGGTGGGTTCAGCCCTTCCATTTGGGAGGGTGGGGACATCCCGGCCAAAGAGCAGGGCCCAGAGGCTGACACTGAAGTGCGTTCTGGATTCTGACAGGGGACAGAGGAAACAGAGGGTGCACCAGCTCAGAGAAGCATGGGCTGGAGGGGCATGGGGTGGGGGGCTCCCACTGTGGGTGGCCAGGACCTCGCTGTCCTGGCTCCTGTCTCCCTGAACAGCAGCAGACACAGGAGCCAGTTCAGGAACAGTCAGAGGGTGGGATGGTCATGTGCTGGTGTTGATCCGTTTTTCAAATGAACTAAAACATGGTGATATTGCTTAGGTAATTAAAAAAGAAATGGGGTTAGCTGCTTTAACGACTCTCACCGAAAGGAGATGGAGGAACTCGGCTGCCCAGAGCACTGTGGCATGACAGACTTTCTAGAAAAAGACTTCTCAAACCCCGGACTGAAACCAAGTTCTCCTGAGTTATTTCTCCCTCTGAGAAAAGTGCCTTTATTGTTTTTTACTGTGTCCTTTGACTTCTTTATGGCATTCAAAACATTCCATTTCGGCATCAGTGACTTCTTCAGTGCATTAACCAGTAAAGCTCAATCCACATTCCGCCTGACTCTCTACATGTCACAGGGAAAAGCCACGACTTTGTTAACATTTAGAACATGACAAAATCAGCGCTAGGATGCAACTGCTTTCTCTCCACCGGGAGTCCTTCCTGGGAACCTTGGTGACCTTTTAGCTTTGGTCACTGAAATTCTCCTCTTGTATCTAAACTCACCTTCTTGGGGACCGCCTCAAGTCTCTTGACTGAGTACCACCCAGATGTGGGGGGCCTCCAGATGCTGATCTCCAGCCCACATCCCTTTCTGGAATTTCAGACCCGCTTCACCAGCCCCCCGAGGGTGCTCCCCTGACTGAAGGCTGGTCTCCTCCCAACTTTCTGCCTCAGTGGCAGCTGTTACAGGTTGAACTGTGTCCCCCCAACTTCCATGCTGGAATCCTAGGCCTCAGAACTTCAGAAAGCGACCCATTTGGGAAGAGGCTCAGAGCAGATGATACTGGCGAAGATGCTACTGGGTAGGGTGGGCCCCCCGTTCAGTGGGACTGGTGTCCGTATTTAACATGGGAGATGGGCCCAGACACCCGTGGGAGAAGGCCACGTGAGGATGAAGGCAGCGATGTTTTCACAAGTCAAACAATGCCCAAGATGCCAGGAGGCCCTTGTAGACGGGAGAGAGGCAGCTTCTCCCATAATCTTCAGAGGATCTGCCCACACCGGCACCTTGAGCCTCCGGAAATCCCTGTGGTTCAAGTGTCCCTGGTTATGGTGCCCAAGCAAACACAGAGCGCCTTGGGTTGCTCCCCGACTCCTCTCTTATCCTCACACCACACACATGATCTGTTCAGTTCTATTCTCTTGACTCTCACCAGATAGTCACAATCTGAGCGCCTCCCATAGCCTCTGGCACGACTCTCCTCCAACTTGTCAACACTGCTTCCCCAGAATTACCCTCCTTCACTCCACCGCTCAAAGACACCCATCAGCCTTCCTTCATCCTCAGAGCAAAAGTCAAGGGCGGCTCTGTAACCAGTCTGGTTCCTGGCACATCTCTAACCTGACGCGTGGGTTCTGTTTCTGCACCACGGGCCTCTGACCCGCCCTCAGACACCCATAGGGGCTCCTACCCCAGGGCTTTCACACCTACCATTTGGTCTCGCCCCGGACATGTGAGCCTCTCCCGCACCTCCCACAAATGTCTCTCTCAGACAGGCCTCCCTGACTGTCTCCGGACCAGCCCCTTTCCTCAGGGCTCAGGGCTCTTCTCTCTTTTGGGCTTTATTTTTCTCCACAGCACCTATTATGTCCAACGCATTGTCTAGTTTACTTTAGCCTGTACTTGTCTCAGCCATACAAGAAAGGAAACTCAACGAAGGCCAAAGACTTTCTCCTGTGTGATGTGCACGGTGGCCCCCGAGCTGGGATCTGTCCCCCACACAAAGCAGGCTCCCACCCACCACATGTGGCCTCCTCAGGAGAACTCTCATGGCCAGCTTTGAAGTCCTGCTGCCTCCTCTACAAAGGGTTTGGGCCTCCATAAGAGTGAAATAGACACAGAAGCACTAAGTTCAGAGAAGGTGAAGACAAAGTCTCACATAAAAAACGATGCGCTGTGCAGCCCACATTTAAACAATCACGGTTCAGTTACAAAGTTAACACAAGCAAATGATTTTTCCTTCCGTTAGCTCACATCTTTCCATGACAAAATGGCTAAGCGGTCTCCAGGAGCTTCTCTGCAGCATTCTGCCTCTTCAGTCTCTAATGCTGTGCTGACCTTGTTCTCCTAAGGACAACTTCTCTCTTTCAGGCAAGTTCTTGTTTTCTTAATTGCCAGTTTTTTTTTTTAGAGTCCCTGGTTCTCAGCCATCTTTGCTCTTTTTTTGTCTGCATTCTACCTTTTAGTGACCTCATCCACAGGCCTGGCCCCACCAGCTCTCGGGCACAGGGCTCATCAGTTCCTCAAGTCCAGCTCCAACCTCTCCACCTTCCAACTTTGTTTCTTCCTTCCTTTCCATAACTGCTCTTTGTTCTAGTAGTTTCTGGAAGGGGACTGCCAACTGCTTATCATTCAACTTTGAACCTTACCTAGCATGTCTAATCCACCACCAAGTCTTGCTCATTTCTGCCTTGCATGTTTCACCTCTCTTCTCCTGACCCTGCCTCTGGGAACTCTCAGTCCCTTGTCTCCCCCTGAGGTACTCCGCTGACTCCAGTGTCTTCTCATTCTCAGTAGGTGGCAAGTGACTTTGCTGAGAAAGAGGCTGAACTGTTTATTCTACCTCCTGCTTCAGTAGTCTCTGACTGCCCCAGTGCTGCCATTCATGGGACCCTCAACAGATTAGTCACTTAGGTGAGCTCCTTTCTGACCCCTGCAGGTGCTCACACTGCCCAGGCTCAGGGGTCACACCCGACATCCTTGTGTGTGTGTGTGTGGGGGGTGTGTCTGTGGGCCCTACCCTTTAGCAGCCAGCGTGTCTCCCCCCATCTCCATCCTGGAGATCCTGCCCGTCCTTCAGCCAGCAGGAAGGACCACTCTTCCTTCTGATTCACTTCAGCATTCTGATGCCCCCTCTCCGCAGCAGTCAACACTCTTCCCTGGACATTAGTGGCCTATGTACACATCCCAAGTCCCTTGAGGGCAAAACCCTTGTCCCATACATCTCAGTGCTCCCGGCTGCCATGGGAATAGAGATGGTTCTATTTATTGAACGAATGAAATTGCACTCCTAATCTCATGACAGTAGAACATAAATTTCCAAAAGGCAATTTTACAGAAGGTAAATTAATGAGGCCAAGGTTACTGGTTCAATTCCCATGTGGTTCATTTTATTCTGCAGAGGGAAAAAAATAACATCCAGGGACACAGATGATTCTCAAAGTGCTGCCAGCTGTCCCACCAACACATGGGTTGTTGGCACAGAAGGCAGCCCACCACGTGTGGATGGGCAGGGAAACTCCAGGTTCCACTGACGCTATCATGTGGTCACATTTAAAACTGAAAGATGGTACATGGTTGGGAGGTTATAGATCCAGTTTTGAAACAGATTAGCATATTTACCACGTGATGAGGGGTGAGAGGGAAGAATGAGGAAAAAGGAGGCAGATCTTGAACTTACCTCTTTGACAGGGTCATCAAAAGCCTAAGCGTATTTAATGAATTTGTAGGTCAGACTCTACCCTAAGGTATGGCCTACTGTAAGCATGAAGACAGGGTATGAGAGCTGAACGATGCAGGAACAAGGCAGGAAAGAAACTAAAAAATTAAGTCTGCTTGGGTCCCGGCTCAGTCATTGGCTCCAGCAAATTGTGTGCAAAAATCAACTCTCCTCTGGCCTATAATTCTCACCATAAATGACTGACTATCAGATGCTCCCGAGATCTTTTTCAAGATACCCTCTTACGGAAGATGGGTATAGAAGATAAATCGGACAGTCCGCAGGCACCAGTTTTTATCCAAGTTGAATTTCAAGTTCCAAGTAAAGACAAAGTTTCCAGGGAGTAAATA